CCTCAAGTGATCCTCCTGCCTCAGTCTCCCAAAGTGCTGGGATTACAGGCGTAAGCCACCATGCCTGGCCTAGAAGTTTATATATTGAATTATCTTCCACTTTATGGCTTGGCTTTTGACTTTGGTGTTTTCTGATGAATGATGAACTGAGGTTCTTAAATGTAGCATAACTTACCAGGATTTATGTTTTTTTATTTTTCCTTTTTATTATTCCTTTATATTTCACATTTTCTGTCTTGAGAAAAAAAAAGTCTTTATACTGAGATAAAAGGAAGCTTAGTTCTGTGAGAAAGTAGAGGCAAAGATGCTTCATTGTGACCACAAAACATGGTAGTCCTGTTAATGTGCAGGGGTAAAAATGTCTTTAGCTTCTAATTTCCTTCATTTCTGCTTTTTGTTTTGTAGATACAAGTCCAATTCTGCTCAACTGCTCGTTGAGGCCCGAGTTCAGCCTAATCCATCAAAACAAGTGAGTGTCTGCTACTTGAATGAGGCTTCTAATTGCACATGACTCTTTCTGTGGCGTGCAGTGTCATTAAGAACTATCTTTGCTTTGTTTATAGTTCAGTATGCCCACAATATTTGTTCTAATATTGCCTTAAATCTGTTATGGTTTGAAAAGTTTCCTGATAGATAAGGAATAAATAATTGCCTGTCATTGCGCCCTCTCCAGCCTCACTTTCCTCTCTACATTTTCAGCCTGCACTCCATTCCTTCTGGGTGCTTTTGGTGTTTCTGAGATTACCTCATACCTATTCTGTTCTGTTTGTGCCTTCCCTTCCTAGAATGTCCAGACTCTGTCTCCACCTTTGCTTATAGGAAGGGAAGTCACCTTTAAAGACCCCAGTCCAGCCAGGTGCAGTGGCTCACGCCCATAATCCTAGCACTTTAGGAGGCCAAGGTGGGCGGATCACTTCAGGTCACAAATTCAAGACCAGACTGGCCAACATGGTGAAACCCCATCTCTACTAAAAATACAAAAATTAGCTAGGTGTGGTGGTGCATGCCTGTAATCCCAGCTACTTGGGAGGCTGAGGCATGAGAATCGCTTGAACCTGGGAACTGGTGGTTGGAGTGAGCCAAGATTGAGCCACTGTACTCCAGCCTGAGTGACAGAGACTTCATCTGAAAAAGAAAAAACAAAAAACAATCTAAGCCACCTCTTTGACAAAGCCTGTCTCCTGGATCATTCCCCTGGAAACTCACCTAATTATGTCTATAAACCTTTTTTTTTTTGGAAGGTGGAGTCCCCATCTGTTTCTAAGCTGGAGTGCAGTGGTGCATTCTTGGCTCACTGCAGCCTCCACCTCCTGGGTTCACACGATTCTCCTGCCTTAGCCTCCTGGGTAGGACTACAGGTGCGTGCCACCACGCCTGGCTAACTTTTGTTTTTGTTTTTTTTTTTAAAGATGGGGTTTCACCATGTTGGCCAGGCTGGTCTTGAACTCCTGACATCAGGTGATCCACCCACCTCGGCCTCCTAAAGTGCTAGGATTATAGGCGTGAGCCACCGCGCCCAGCAAGTTTTGTATTTTTAGTAGAGACAGGGTTTCACCATGTTGGCTAGGATGGTCTCCATCTCTTGACTTCGTGATCCACCCACTTCAGCCTCCCAAAGTGCTGGGATTACAGGCGTGAGCCACCATGCCTGGCCTATATCTATAAACTTTTACATATGCATTGTCGTGATTAACTCATATCGTTTTAACACTTCTACCGTAGATGCTGTATTTAAACAATGCATAGCAATTTCCTGTGTATCTAGGAGCTAAACGAACATTTGTTGAATGTTTTTTATATGAGGACCATGCCAAAAGAGATCTTGGAAGGCAGAATTGGGGCTCAGATCACCACATAATTTCTGCAGCCTCTTAGGACAAATGTTTCCAGAAACAAAATAGATAAATATGAGAATCCAGTTCTTTTCCTCAACTTGTTTTTTTATATTCCCAGTAAACCAAAAAGAACCTAATGCTCTAGTAAGTGGACTTTTCCATTGGTTTGTGGTTTTAGACAAGGTCCCCAGATTGTCTTTCTCTGCCAGATTGTGTGGCATGGTATGGATTCTGGAGTTCATGCTCTACAATTATTTGCCCACATTCTAGAAGAGTTTCTTCCCTAGTCGGTATCTCCACATTCCCTCCCCCTAGATTAATAACATGTGACATCTGGTGTATTATGGATGAGTTGTAACTTGGTAAAGGCTGTAGTATTTTGTGGTTTGGGCACATCGATATAGTAAAACCACTGTCCTTGACCAGTAAAACTACAATGTTGGCTGTTAGAAGCTTTATAGACTCATCCTCTAATAACCTTTCTGACTGGGTTTCTAGTAGTTGTGAGGGGCAACTCTGCTGTGCTTAATGGGTAATTTACAAAATAAACCTGGTAGCTTCTAAAAGAAGTTGGACTAAATGACCTCTAAGGACCTTGGCAATTCTGAAACCCTGAATTTTTCAGTCTGCCATTATAAACCATTGTAAGTTATCATTTCAGTCTTCTTTCGGCCTCTGAATCCTAGTGACTTTGCAAGCCCAGCTCAGCTGCTACCTCCTTCAGGAAGCCTTCCTAGTATATACTTTTAGCTTAGCACCCTTGGGACTCAGAGTCCACATATTGCAATTGAGCTTTGATAGTTGTTGCAGGGTAAGGATCACTTCCCATGCACCCGGCTGTATGAGGTACTCTTATGGCCTCCTGCTTCTGACTCCCCTTTGGCTCATGTGGCTCTACTTCTCTCCAGGTTTCCACATCCCATCCCCCTCACCACTGTGCAGTGTGTATGCAGTTTGTGCGAAAGGAAAACCTACTCTCTCTGGCCTGTCAGCACCAGTTTTGCCGAAGCTGCTGGGAACAGCACTGCTCAGTTCTTGTCAAGGATGGCGTGGGCGTGGGTGAGTCTGCCGCAGAACTGGTAAAAGGCTGGCATGAAGTGTTTATCTTTGACTCTGCCTTTTCATATACTCAGGTAAACTGAGTATTTTCTTCTGAGCCTGATTGGGGTTTTTATCATCAAAACTAGTGATTTTCAAGTACATCATTACAAACAGTGACCAAGTTTTCCACAGTCCTCAGCAAAACGAGAAAATTAAAGATACCGTTGTTAATGTTGGCATGAGTGCAGAGCTACTTTTTCTCACCTTTTGGGAGATTGATCCTTTAAGCTGCCTACCTTAATTCCACAAGTGGCAGCCATAAGCCCACAAGAGTCTGCTGCATCTTAGGTAACAGCAGAAATCAAATTTGACGATTAGTTGCAGGAGTATTTGTTAAACTGTGATTTGATGATACTGAAACAAATTAGCATTGCATTAATTGGGATCTACAATCGGTAATATCAATCGGTGATATGACTGATCAATCAATCAGTCCCACAATCGGGGATAATCACCTGTACATAACATCACGAAACTCAATTGTTAGTCAAGAACGCTATACAGCTAGTGCTCGACTTACGACCACGATTGGGTCCGACAGACTGGTCGTAACACGATTTGGTTGTAAGTTGAGTAGGCTATATGTACAGTACTGTGAAATGATGTTATAAAAATCTTTAAGTCATATTTTATCATAATTTTCTTTCATTATTGTTATATATCATAATTTTCTTTGTTCATTTTATGCCATTTGTATCATCTCTACACCATTTTGTTTCTTATTTTTACATTCATCAGGTTTGAGTAAAACACTGCATTACCAGTACAACTGGTTTAATATTTGCAAAACATACAAAATTAAAAAATACAAGTGCATACAAAAATACAAAATACAGGTGTAAAAAATACCACAGGTAACATTTTCCCAATTGCAAAACATATCAAAATATATAAACATGTACGAAACATTTTATTGGCTGCTGGTGCTTGGCTGAGGATCGTTGATGTCGTCATCTGAGGCAGCAGTTGGGGTTACCGGAGTTGGTTTTTTCATAAACATGGTGAGCTTTGTCTGAATTGTATGTTTCTTTTTTTCTTCATAAATTTCACAATACGGACGAAACACATCGTGCGCCATCCGTTCAATCCTTGCAAATCGTTCGATGTTTGGGTCCATTGCTGCGAAATGTATAAGAAGTTTATTCAGTAAAGATAAACCGTAGACAAAGAGGCGTAGACGAAGACAATTTCCTCTTGGTAGACATCTTGGGAGGGGTTTGATGAAAAATATCCAAGACACAAAACACAAATTGCTGTACCGACTCTGGGATAACAGTTGAAATGGTGCACTCAGAGATGGAGTGCTGCCGGAAGCTGGTCCGCACTGTCGTACGCGCAGCTGGGCAACCTTTGCGCTGCCAGACGCGGAGCAGTCGTGGCTAGCGATTGTGGTCGTAAAGTAGAATGGTCGTAAGTTGTGTAGGTTGTAAATCGATCAATCCCTGTATAAGGATTTTTTTTTTTTTTTTCAGACAGTGTCGCTCTGTTGGCCAGGGTGGAGTACAGTGATCTTGGCTCACTGCAGACTCCTCCTCCTGGGTTCAAGTGATTCTTCTGCTTTAGCCTCCTGAGTAGCTGGGACTATAGGCACACATCACCACGCCCCGCTAATTTTCGTATTTTTAGTAGAGATGGGATTTCACTACATTGGCCACAATGGTCTTAAACTCCTTACCTCGTGATCCACCCACTTCGGCCTCCCAAAGGGCTGGGATTATAGGATTTTAAAAATGGTTTCGTTATTTAATGGTGCTGTTAGTTATATAGTTTGGGATAATATTTTAGTTTCATCATGTGAAAATATGCTAATTTCTCTCTTCTCTGAATAAATTCTGTTGCTTGAAGTGTTTCTTACATGGAATCTGGATTTGTTGATTGAATTGGGGGGGCAAGTTGTGTCTTCTGCAGTATGGTTGTCCATCAGGTTGTTTTTATTCAACAGGAGTCTCTTGTATGGCCCAGGACTGTCCGCTCCGTACACCAGAGGACTTTGTGTTTCCATTGCTTCCCAATGAAGAATTGAGAGAGAAATACAGGCGCTACCTCTTCAGGGACTATGTGGAGGTATTGCCAGCCTTTGTTCTGCGCTCTCTCTTCCTGGGCCTACCTTCCATCAGATGGTTACCACAGCTACTTACTTTATAGACTAGGCTGACATTAAGTGATGGTGTTTGAAGAAAGAGCTCTATGGCTTTAAAAAAGCTTGAAAACCACTAGAGTGATAGTGAAGAGCACAGGACCTGGAGTCAGACACACCATTGTGTGAAACTCGGATACTTGCTTGCTATGTGACCACTGACTTTTTTTTTTTTTTTGAGACAGAGCCTCGCTCTGTCACCCAGGCTGGAGTGCAGTCGCACCATTTCGGCTCACTGCAGTCTCCACCTTCTGGGTTCAAGCAATTCTCCTGTCTCAGCCTGCTGAGTAGCTAGAACTACAGGTGTGTGCCACCATGCCCAGCTGATTTTTGTATTTTTAGTAGAGACGGAGTTTCAACATGTTGACCAGGATGATCTTGATCTCAACTTCTTGATCTGCCTGCCTCAGCCTCCCAAAGTGCTTGGATCACTGGCGTTAGCCACCACACCCAGCCTTAAAAAATTTTTTTTTAACCTCTGAGCTTTGATTTTCTCTTCCCCAGAATGGACAGACATGCCCACCTTATACATAGTTGCTTAAAGAAGCTATTGTGTATCAGCGGGTGAATACAAGTCAGGTATATATAGGAGCTGGTGTTACGTTCAGTTTTCTATATGGTTGAGCAGAGAGGTGTATTGCTTTTTGAGTAATTTGAAAACTTGTCCAGGATTCCAGCATGGTTACTTTTGGAGTCCTTTCCCTCTATTAGGCCATCTGCCTAGTTTTGCTGATTCCATGCATTATAATTTTCTTTTCCTTTTTTTTGAGACAGGGTTTTACTCTGTTGCCCAGGCTGCAGGGCCCTAATATGGCGCACTGCAGCCTCTGACCTTCCAGGCTCAAGCAGTACTCCCACCTTAGCCTCCTGAGTAGCTGGGCCTACTGGCACACACCACCAAACCTGGTTAATTTTTGTGTTTTTTGTAAAGACGGGGGTTTCATTCACCGTGTTGCCCAGGCTACTCTCGAACTCCTGAGCTCAAGCCATCCATCTGATGCAGCATAACTTTCATCTTTGTCTTTTTGCCTAAATTTATCACATTAATTTATGGTCTGGGTCTTGTTGTGCACATGCCGCAAGATAAACAGAAGGCCTTGTTCTTTGTGCTGCTTGCTGCCTTTGGTAGATACCTTTTTTTTTTTTTTAAACATGGATTCTCAAAAAAAAGAAAAAAGATGGAGTCTCACTCTGTCGCCCAGGCTAGAATGTAGTGGCATGATCTCAGCTCACTGCAGCCTTCATCTCCCAGATTCAAGCAATTCTTCAGCCTCAGCCTTCTGAGTAGCTGGGATTAGAGTCATACACCACCAAGCCCACCTAATTTTTATGTTTTCTTTGTTTTATTATTATTTTTTTAGTCAAGTTCAGTAGTGAGAATGGGGGAAAGAGTAGAACAAGGAGTTTGATCTGTAACTGACTGTGAACAATCAATTGAGATAACTCACTACCTTTGGACCAGCAATTTTTATGTTTTCTAGCAGAGACAGGGCTTCGCCATGTTGACCAGGCTGGTCTCGAACTCCTGACCTCAGGTGATCCGCCTGCCTCGGCCTCCCAGAGTGCTGGGATTACAAGTGTGAGCCACTGCACCTGGCCTTCAGAGATATCTTATGCACAGCTAACAAGACTGTGTTTCTTTCCAGCCCTGGTCCATGTGCACTTTGATCTCATGCATGCAATTCTGTATTCTTTTATTTATTTGTTATTTTTTAATTTTTTCAGAGATAGAGTTTCTCTATGTCATCCAGGCTTGAATGCGTTGGTGCAGTCAGCTAATTGCAGCCTCACATTCCAGGCCTCAAGCAATCTTCCCCACCTCAGCCCCCTGAGTAGCTAGGACTATAGGCAGAAGCCACCATGCCTGGTGCAATTCTATATCACCTTAGATCATTCTAGTGAGTTGCTACTTGGTTTAAGCTAAATGTTCAAAGTTCCTCTTTAATATCTGGCTTATGTTTGGTCTTCGTGACATACCTTCTGAATTCATATAGCCCCTTAATAGAAGTCATGAGCTGGGAAAACAGAAAATGTTTGAATATTCAGGGTATTCTAATTTGTAGACAACAACTAAGAGTGTCCTCATTGTTTCCCCTTGGTCTGTTCACAGAGTCATTACCAACTCCAGCTGTGCCCTGGTGCAGACTGCCCCATGGTTATTCGGGTACAGGAGCCTAGAGCTCGCCGAGTCCAGTGTAATCGGTGCAACGAGGTCTTCTGGTAAGAGTGAGTGTGAGTGCTGAGCAGCCCTGGGCTTGTGCCCCATCCTCCTCCAAAGCACCACTGCTATTGCTCCATGTGAGTGCAGCACTGGGAGAGGCAGGGTCTCTGAGCCAACAGAGCAGCTGTGCTCTAAGTGGGTAGGTTTGTGCCCAGCATCTCATATTCCACTAGGTGTTCAATACATGCTCAGTCTGGAGACAATGAAGTGACACAGGTTCTTGGAAAATGTGTTGTGGTTTATGCTACTAAGTCTCATGGCCCAGAGATTGTATGAGGATGTATCTACCTGCATAGCTAATCACATATTACTGTGTTTGAAAGGTACAATCTTCAACATTTTAATCTTTCTCTGTCTTGGTCTTTCTTGGCTAATTTTTATTATTTTTTATTTATTTATTTATTTTGAGATGGGATCTCACTCTGTCATCCATGCTGGAGTGCAGTGGTACAGTCTCGGCTCACTGCAACCTCCACCTCCTGGGCTCAAGCAATTCTCCTGCCTCAGCCTCCAGAGTAGCTGGGACTACAGGCGAGCACCACCACACCCAGCTAATTTTTTTATTTTTAGTAAAAACAGGGTTTTACCATGTTGACCAGAATGGTCTCCTGACCTCATGATCTGCCTGCCTCGGACTCCCAAAGTGCTGGGATTATAGGCGTGAGCCACCATGCCCAGCCTTCTTGGCTAATTTTTTATAAAACTAAGTCATAAATATATTCTACATCTACTCAGGGTTCACTTGATTCAGTACATATCATGGGGATAACTACAGTTTACTGAAGGCTTACCAGGTGACAGGTACTATCCTCCGATCGTTTTTCCTGCATTATCAAAACTGT